TAAGTGTGTTTAGTAGAATTGTATGAATAGTGAGATTAGGAGAGTCTGCACTCATTAGAATGTCATCTGTTATTCTGAGTAGAGCTTTTTCTGTACTGTAGTGCTTTCTAAAGCCAGACCGTGATGTCAGGGACAGACTTTGAATGGGATGAATATTGTTGTCTGGAGGAAGCGTAATAGTCTTTATAGTGAATACTAAAATTGAGATGCAAAAATGATCATTCACACTAATTATGAATACTATTGCGAGCTCAATAGCAGTCAAAATAAAAAAAAATTCTTATCTCGCTAAAACACCTCGCTAAACCCCCCCCCCATACACCTTACAGGAAACGCCTGGATTTACTGGTGGTACAGGGTAGTGGATTTCAAGGAACTTTGATAAACATCAGCATCTTACATAACTGGGAGTTTTGAGTTTTATACATTTTTGAGATTGTGCAAATTATGTAGTTGGGGTTGAAAGCCTGCACAAAATTTGTGTTGTAAAACTGTCTGAAGTGCCGACCTCTGTGGCTGGCAAATGGAGGCCGACAGGAAAGTAACTTGAGGCCGCTTCCCCCATTTGTGACAATTGTTCCAGGGGTGAATTAAAACTCACCTGTTAAAATTATGTTAAGGGTTAAAGTTAAAGACTGCCAGGATGACACGCTGACTAAGCAATAAACACACAATGGGCTTTCGTTTTCTATCCCAGCCATTCTACCTTTCACTTATTGTTTCATTCTGAATGCCGAACGTTGTCAGATTCACTTGACTGCAACGTGTTTGATTCATAGTGATGCAGTAAGGGAGCTCCTACAGAGGCTTTGCATCTAAAATGCCAGCAGAAAACAAAAGCACCACATTTTGTACAGCTATACATATATATAGAATCTATCATGAACAATTGTTTACACCATTTGTATTTTCTTACTGTGTTTTGGTAAAGGAGCTCAGTTATATTTGGATTTCCCTGGCATATGACATTGACTTGTTTACAGTTTTTTTATATGTGTGTATTTGTCTGATGTTAAATTATTACATTTTTAAGGATCAGTGTGAAGCATTTAGTGCCATCTAGCAGTGAACGGCTCATTCTAAGGTAACGAAAACTGAATATTTGATATTTTCAGGTGATTATACACTAATGAAAATATACCCATGAATATCATATTCCATTTCTGCCAGTAGACCCTCCTAAATGTTACACACTGTACCTTTTAAATATTAACACTGAATCAGACAAGTGTGTATACTGTGACTGAACAGCTGTTTATTTTTCCAGCCTGCATAAAGATTGTATGATAAAGTCTCACCTCTCAACATTCTTTTAGATGGCCGGAGATACAACTCAAATGGGTGCTGACGTTGCTGTGGTTCCTCTGGACGTGTAAGTAATATGGAAACTGTATACTTTATTCCAGCTATTGAAGGTAACCTTATTAATGACACACTAATACTTAAAATAAGTGATATTCCTGTACTTAGTTTTCAGAAACATCCATATTCTTACTATATGTACATAAGATCAATGATGGAATGAGTTTAAAGAGTTAAACTCCACATTTCGACTGACTGATTTTGGCTCACTGTAGTGCTCAGTACATATTGTGCAGCCATTTACACAAAGTTGATACCTAACAAGCCACACCATTATTATTATTGTTCAACAAAATTCTTCCCTCATAATACATTTGTGCTAGTGCTAGTCTGACGTCGTTCAGGAAACACGAAGGGCATAAACTTGTATCGCTTCATGTATCTTAAGATGTGGCAACAGCTTTGTGGCTTCCCTTGATAATCCTGATAATATCAAGAGCTGTCTGCTCTGACAAGGAGAGTGAGCACTTTTCCCCTGCACTGGCTCGTAGTAGGGTGAGGGTGTAGAGGTCAGAGTAGAATCACCACTATCCCCGAGGAGCTAACTGTGTTGTAGGAAGAAGCCGTGAACATATAATCATCAATCTAACAATTAGAGATGCATAGTTCCAAGTGAGACAAGATGCTATGGTTAAACACATCCTTAAACTGCTCATCTTTCCGTCTGATTAATCTGGTTATGAAGGTTGAATTGCTGTATTGAGAAGGATTCACATAAAAAGGGAAAAGAAATTCAAAATCAAGTTTTGTACTGGCACAAAATGTTTTTAGGAAATATCGTTTCCATAGTTTTAACAATAGTGCATTGTGTTTGTACTTGACATCATTTGGGGCGCAGTCCTTTTTTTGTTGTGTATCCTTTAGTCTATCTTAATACAATACTTACACAGCCATGTCTACATTAATTGTTCTTCCTGTCCATACTGGCTGCAAAGAGATCCCTTCATAAAGCAATTTCAGTGTAACTGCTAGGGGACAAAATCTACAGTCTTTGCTTTACACAAATTAATTCTAATGTTAACCTAAAGCTAATATTAGGCTCCAGCAGTCTGAGTTCGATGAATCAAGTTACAGCCTCTTAGTACTAAATTCTGGCTTTGTGTTACTATCCTTCCTCGACAGGTAAACATTGTTCGTTGAAGCACAAAGAGCAGGGGTGCAGATCTGATGTCAGGATGGAGGGGGGGCACAAAAGTGTTTTTTTTTTTTTTGCCTGTATGCAACTCATACCATGCCAGAGGCTCACCATATCATTCAAAAAAGTACTGCACAGGGAATCATTTATTGTGCTTACCTTTCTTGTTTATTTGTCCTAAACAGCCAACAGCGCGTATCACTGCTTACTTAACTGTTATATTAGTAAATCATAATTTTAAGGGTCTCGGGCATGTAATGTCTACTCATGTTCTTATCTTTCGCCTCCCTCCAACCCTCCCAGATCCCCAATTCTTCTCACCATCTTCCTTTTCTCCAGTGTATGACAACTTTATGCATGATTAATTGATGATGGATGAATATCAAACATATGAAGACCCTAACCAATTGTGAAGCGGCTGTGTAAGAAACACCATTCATTTGCATTGTAGTGGAGGAACACGAGATGAATGTGTGAGTCATAAATATATTTGTCAAAGCATTATTGTTCACCATTCAATCATTTCTTTTTTTAGATCGGGAATCTAAAATGTGAAGAATGTGAAGTCTGATCCTCCCCGGGATCTGCTCTGTCTGACAGAACTTCCTGCTCTTAAAGGGGAGGCACTGTGGAAGTGTCTTAAAACCTGCATTCTATGTAAATTCCAGGAGGGGGAGCTTCATTGACTGCAAGACACAGTGATCCCATCCATTCTAATGGAGAATGAGCAGACTTGAGCTCAGTAAACAGTTTCCTGATGAGTTTAGGGTCTCAGTCGCTATTTCAATACATTATGATGTTCATTTGGTAAATTATGGTCCAATAATTGGCTGATCAAATAGGAAGCTAGATTCTGTTACTGCGACTATTTCTCGCTTAAAATCGTTTCAGAAACATATTTTAGTGTACTATTTAGCTGTAATATGCAGCAGATTGTGTATGCGCTGGCTAATGAAACCATTACTTATTTTCCATTGCTGAAAATTACGTTTCTTTGTATACTGTATATACTGTTATATCCCCATGTACATAAAAATACCTGCACTAAAATATTTATTTCAGCATCCTTTGCACCATTGCACTATTGTCTAAGTCTATGTCTTTTTTGTTGAACTTGTTCTGTTTATTTATTTATAGATTATAGATACATTATTTATCCCGGGGAAAATTCAAGTTCAAATTAGAAGTGCACTCAAAACAGTTTTCAACAGTTCATTTTTGAGTTGGGTTTAATTTACGGGAATTAGTGACTGAAAAATTAGTTCATGTTAGTTACTTCTTTTATTAAGATATGCTGTTTGGTTTTACAGTGTATGTAAAAATTACCTTTAAAATGAATGTCATTGAAGCCTGGATGGTAGGCTGAACTTATGTTTAGGGGGCAGTAGTAGAGTTTACAGCATTTGAAGCATTCTACTGCATGCCTCCCACTAGATGGGGTGATGAATGGTAATCTACAAAAGAGAATAACTGTTACAAATTCTATATTATACTGTGCCACTCTCCTTCTGCACTCATTCATGTCCCATTAATGCATGTCAATCAAAAGGTCATTATTAACTTTAACCAGAGGCTGGCTTTTCCTTTTGATCAGCCGTCTGTATGTCCTTATCTGTTTGCGGAGTTTGATGACGTCGGGATGTGCGTGTCTGGTTCCGCCTACCTTAAACAAAAGGATCTCTAATCAGACATATAGAGATAACACCTGTGTGAGAGCAGGTACTCTGCTCCCGTGTGCCCGCCCAGTCTGTTGTCCACTGCAGGAAACACAGAAGGGAAACTGCAGCTCGGGGCTCAGTCCTGACCAGGTAAAATCATTTTTTACACAGCTAAATTCTTTTTTCCACTCTCATTATTTAAGGTTTTATTGACACGTTACCAGTTAAATATCTGTGTTTGGTAGCCGTACAATTTAAATCTTTAATTTAAAAGGAAATGACGGTCCAATTCCACATTTACAGGTAAATCGGGAGGATGAGGCGCGCAACGTCTAATTTAATCTTCACCACTGGGCTGATGATGGGATTTTTCTCCCTTCGCTTTATGTTGGACTTGAACTTTTCAGCAGAACAACTCCTGTATGTTGGGAGGGATGTGAGGTATCAAATCCAACATGATTCACGGCCTGTGCACACAGGTAGGCATCGATTTAGTTCATATTTAGTTCATATTTAGTTCAATTCTGTTTAGTTTAGTCTTTTTTGTTATTATTCTCAAGAAAGCAAAAACAAATTTAAAAAATATATTATACATGTTGAATTGCCATAGAAAAATCTCCATGTTGTGTTTAAATGGCTAAAATGCTCATATTTTATCTGGTCAAATGTGGACATTTTTCTTGGATGCCATTGAGTCAGGGTGACTTACTAAAATCTATTGTTGTTTTGATTAACCACGACAATCTAGTAGACATATATACACACTCACACATAGTGCACTGTAGTTTTCATTACATTATCGGTCTGTCTCTGTATCCAAAATAACAAACTTTGCATCATCTGAGTTAAGATATGGAGTTGTTGTTGTTTTCCTGGTGGATGTTTTTTAACTGTGGAAACAAACCGCGTCCAGATGAATAAAATGTTTTGTGGATTGAAATAATGCAGAGGCATTCTTCTTCGGTTGTATAAAGCTGCATCTGCATCTCATTTATTTGTCATTGCGGAGCACGCACGAGCCTTATTTCCACTCCCATAATTGGTCCTATATATCACACTTTCGTTTTCATCATATGATCAGATGATCTGATCATGTGATGCATTGCACATTCTTCTGTTTTCCGGGGATAGTGAATGGTGTAAAGTCTTTGGGCTCAAACTTTTTAAGCTGTAATGAATTTCTTTTCTGTTCGAAACTTAAAATGTTTGACTTGGCATCTTAAAATGATGACAAACTTTATAAAATATTTTGGCTTAGTATCTAACAAATAAGTAAACGTTCTCAATATTTTTAATTGGTTAAAAAAATAACTTATTATTTTGAGATACAATATCAAAATATTGACAGCTACAGCTAATTTTTACACCCTAGATGATTAAATGGGCAACACCTGATGGTGGTATTATTTAAAAAAACACAAAAAAATGTCCAAACTTTATGGAAGCCCATTTCTGCCAATGTGACAAAAAATAAAAAATAAATTGTCTAAAGACTGTAATATTGTAAAGATTTAAAATTTGTTTTCTGATTCACCATGTAGTTAAAAACTGAGGAGGCTAGCTTTTTTCCATTCAGTCACTTTGTAAATTGTTAAATTAGTTACGGAAACTATTTAGACAGTTAGTTTCTAGATGTGAAACCCTTCTAATGTTGGGTCATTGAATAATCATTTTCTGAAAAAAGCAGCTGCTGAAAACTGCATCTC